CCCCATAGACACTGCCCGGTGGCCTGGCATCAGCCCAGGGCTGAACCCCGTACTTACGGTTAGGTGGAGAGAGGCAAAATCCCAAGGAGAGACCTTTTAGGGCCAGAATTTCCCTCTCCTTCGTCTCCTGGAGGCTTTGGCTCGGCGAGTGCCTGCAACCCCGCGGCCGCATCGCCCAGTGCTCCGGGGTCCCGGGCATGTGGATCCCCCTCCTCGCCCCGTGGCCACCATGGCCATGCTCCGAGCTGGGGACGCCGGCCAGCCAGGGCTGTCATGGTGGCAAAGCAGGGTGTCCCAGATGTTGAGGTGGCTTCGGGCTGGCTTTGGCACCAAATGGGACGTGGGGAGGTGGAGGGGAGGTGGGAAGGGACCCTGGCCAGCACCTCCCCATCTATCGCTCCCAGAAGTGACGGGCAATTGGAAAGAGCACTGGGACAACTGTGAGGGCGGCGGGGGGAGCTGGTGCCAACCCCGCTGCCAGTGCCACCTCCGAGCCACTGGCTCTTTGGGAGCGTTATTCCCATTGTGCAGCACCAAGCACTGGCCATGGCTCCTCGTCTTGCTCACAAGTGAGGGGTGTCTGTCATTTCTGCTTCATCCCCGCATGCCCACCCTCTGCTGCCGCCTAATTTCACACCAGCACCGTGTTTCTTTGCGTGCCAGGAGCATCTGCTGGCCGGGATGGCCGGCAGCCGTGTGGGGCCACCCCACTTCCACACTGGCACGCTTCACCCCATGTCCCTTGCCACGCACCCTGCCTGGGGGGACCCCCGTGGGGCTGAGCCGGATGAGGGTGGCACGGGATGGTGCAAAAGGGAGGTTGGCTGTGTGCTTATCTCCCCTCTTGTCCTTCCTGACAGGGCCTTTGGGTGCTCTTTGCATGCCAGGTAGCTGCATGGGTGCGTAGGGTGCACAGAGGGCACCCAGGGTTGGGAGGAGAGCGCAGAGGGGTGCTCAACTTGCAGGGCTCACCCCTTTTGGGGTGCATAGGGCTGTGCTAGGGGTGGACCAACCACCCCAGAACCCAGCCTGCACTCATCATCTCTCCAACACTCTCTGTGCAACCCTTCTGCTGCTCCTCTGGTCCCAAAATACCCTGGAGCAACTTTCCCATGCTGGCATGGGCTTTATTTGAGCTGAAGCATCTGCCCCCCCCAGCCTGGCATCCCTCGCTGGCCCATTCCCATGGCAATTTGCCTTCCCTTGCCTCCAGCCCCTCACCCGTGGGGTTCCTTGCACTTGCTGGCGTCCCATGCCATCAATAAAAACAGGGCCAAGACTGTAGACCTGAGCACCCAGGGAGCTGGTAAGGGAAGTTCCTTGGCTGGATTCTGCTTTTCACTCAATAATTTTCCTTTTCTGTTCAAGATGGTGTCAATCCAGCAGCCCAGGAGACTGGGTTCAGCGCTCGAGGGAGAGGTCGTGCGGCATGGGGCAGAGGATTAGGTCTGCATGGGAGGTGCTGAAGCTGTGCTTTGGGAAGCACAACTCTGATTTCTTCAATTAAAAACTGGCCTTAGGGCTCTTTTTGCTGACTTGGAGCCCAGGCTGGGCTCAGAGGAGCTAAAGGCAAGGGAAGGAGGGAGTGAAGAGCCCCATGTGAGCTCCCAGGGGATTGCTACAGCCAGGACAGAAGGTGTTGGGAGCCTGTCGGGAGCTCAACAGCAAAGCAACAGCATGTAACCATGGGCAGAAAGCATCCCCCGTGCATCTGGTGGTCGGTGGTTTCAGCGGGCGAGGAGGGCAGGGACAGGGACGTGCTCCCACTGTGGGGGGTTCCCACCTCCT